GTGCCGGGGGCCGGCCCCCTGCAGCCCCCGCGCCTCTCCCGCAGCCGGCGCTGACGGGAGAGCTGCTCCAGCGGGTCCTCTCGCCTTGCCAGGTGAACTTCAACGAGCCGCTCTCCATGCTGCAGCGCCTCACCGAGGACCTCGAGTACCACGAGCTGCTGGACAAAGCCGTCAAGTGCGAGAGCTCCACGGAGCAGATGTGCTTCGTCGCTGCGTTTTCCGTGTCTTCCTACTCCACCACCGTCCACCGCACAGCAAAGCCCTTCAACCCGCTGCTGGGGGAAACCTATGAGCTCGACCGGCTGGATGAGTTTGGCTTTCGGTCGCTGTGTGAGCAGGTAAGATGTGAGGGTGATGGCTGCCCAGCAGCAGGAGCACTGCCCGCTCCTCATGCCTGCTCCAAGCAGCCCCTTCCTGAAGAACGGGTGTCTCCTCGCATGGAGCGCGGCCAATACAGCGAGCAGTTTGCTGTTGGCATTGGCAGAGCCACCTGAGCCGCGTCCTGCAGTGTCACAGAGCACGAGACGCCAGGAGGAGGAAATGAGAAGGGCCCTCTCCTGCTGTCGGGTCTCTCAGCAGCTGGGCTGGGGTTTCTGTACAACCTTAACGCTGGAGCAGGAAGAAGCTCCTTTTTGAGCTCCCTCCTAACAGCAAGTGGTGGCAGATCCTCCGGCTCCCAGCATCTCTTCAGGCTACAGCATGGCTTGAAGTCTTACTTCTTCCTTGTTGGCTTGAAAAGTTTTTGCTTTCAGAGCTTGAAGACAACCTGAGCATCTCTGGTATACTGCTGCTCTAACCACAGAGCGCATCTGACCCACATCAGTCAAACAGCAGGTCTTAATTAAAAATCTGGAGTGCTTTATCAGTTGAGACTAGTGAAGAAATTTGATTCTTGACAAGTTAACATTTATCATGGTTGGCTGGTCCATCCTGCCTTCCTGGGCCATCTGTAACCCTTTGCTGGATGTGGCAGGCAGGACACAACGTTGGCAGGGCTGTCTCTGTTCTCCAGGTTATCCCCACGCTGTCTTGGGGCTGGGAGCCCTGGAGCAGAGCGAATATCACAAGTTTCCAAGTCAAAACCACCAATCTGCATCCCTCTGCAAAGGCCGATGGAGGTCCAAGACCTGCGGAGGCAGACAGCACCCTCTGAGCCCCATGGGGCAAGACTTGTGGGTCAGGGCTGCACTTCAGTGATTCACCGTATGGGGATCTGCCTGGGTTGCTTCCGTGGGGCTTTCAAGTGGTATTCTTCAGTGTCCACGTGGGTGGGAAATGCCAAACCCACGCATTTCCAAGCAGAGATGCTGGATCTTCCCCCTGGCTGCTGCGCTCCTCCGAGAGCTCCGCGTTGTCCCGCTTGCAGCTGTTTTTGTCCGCGTGGTGTTTTCTGGGACGAGCTCCGTGTTCCCAGCTCCGCAGAGCGCGCCCTGTGCCTGCAGCGCTCCCGGCTGCCAGCCCCGCACACGTGCCCGTCACTGCCTTTGCCCAGGAGCCCTGGGCAGGACACGTAGGTGCAAGCAAAGCTGCAGCTCAGGAGCCAGCCCTGGGCCGTGCCCAGGAGTGAGCGGGCTCCTTGGCTCTCCTGGGAGTGTGGCCACCCGCCAGGGACAAAAGTGAAGGTGTTTCTGTAGATATTCTTCATGTTTCAGGCCTCTGCTGTCCCTTTGTGCCATCCAAAGCTGCGTGTCGCCCTGGGCCAGCTCTGCCTGCAGTCAGCTTTGCTCTCTTGCCATGCTCAGCGGTGTCTGTGTGGCCTGTCCCCGTCACTGGAGCTCATGCCAGGCACTGCAGCAAGCCAGGACACTGCTGGCCAGAGCGTTATGCACTGCAGCTATGTGTGTCCTCTGCTGTCACACTGAAGTGCAGACGGATGGCTGATATCTAAATAACTCAAAATGTGGCGAGGAGCCTACTTTCCAGGCTGTGGGGGCAAAAAGCCAAAGCAATCAGGGTATGAATGATGATCACATGTTTTCTGGGGCTTCTTCTCTGGCTCTGTACATTCTCAAATATCCCCTTAAGGCCACCTGTCCCTGGGCTGTGACCCTGCCCAGCCCGGTGTTAGGAAGTGGTGGGTAGGTGCTGATTTACGGGGTGGGTGCCAACATGATGGTGCCAGGGTGCTCAGTGCCTCAGTTAGGACCTGCAGCCTGGCCCTCTTGGCCGCTGCAGCAGCATCACGTGTGTGATGTGGTCACAACAGCAGCTTGGAGTTGCTGTCCTCATTGGGCTGTGGCAAGCAAACTGCAGGACAGCCCCGTAGCATCCTTCACATACCTCTCCAGCCCTTTTCCTCCTTGTTGACCCTCTTCCAGGGTTCTTTCATCACTAGCACCACACACGTCTTGGTGTCAGCTGCTCCCCAGGGCTCCTGTTGTCACTGGTGGACCCCAGGTTGTGTGGTTTCAAGACACCCTTTTCCTACCCAAATCCAGTCTGAGGGCCTGGGCAGGATGGTGAGTGCCGGTTCTCTGTACACATCAGCCTCATCTTTGCAGGAGTGCAGTTGGTGCTAGTGCAAAGCACACATTAAAAGGGAAAATTCAGTCCCCCCTGGTGTTCCTGCTCTGGCCACGTTTGGGGACAGGTGGATTTTGGGTGCCCACCACATTAGGCTTGCATGTAGCAGCCCTTTGAGCTTGTAATTCCCTCCTCCATCCTGTTCCTTTCCCACAAACATGTAAAAGAGACTCATCGTAAACTGAGGTTTGCAATAACCTGGGGTGAAACTGCTCTGTTGCAGCTCCCAGGAGCCTTTGATCCATGAGCTGAGTCCCTAAATCCCCGCTCTGGACACATCTTGAAGGGCAGACACAGATTGCACCTGCACAGGGCTGGCAGTTCCTCTTGCCATGGGCAGTCCTGGCCAGCACCACGCTCAGAACGGGCCGCACTGGGTCCTGCTCCAGGGCCTGGGCCCAGATGGACGTTGTTTCTAGTGCTCTTAATTTTCCTTGGCGTGCCTCTTCGCTGCTCAGCCCTCGGACATGCTGAGCGAAGTATTGATAATCTTGTGAATGAAATCCAGTTATCCAAATAGGATTTTCTCCTGCTGGTTACAGTGGGGTTTAGTGGAGAGATTTTTGTTCCACTCACGTTTGTAATCCGGTTGCTCGGGGCACTTAGGGTGTAATTACATTGGCGTAAATCATCTCTTAACGCAGTCCCGCAGCTGCCGGGCCTGGAGGTGCTCCCAGCGAGCGCAGGCCGGGCAGGTCGGGCTGATGCTTTCAGGGAGGGCAGAGGGAGCCCAGCTGCAAAGCGAGCTCCCCTCCTCCCGCTTGTCCTCCTGAGCTCGTTGGAGCCGGGCTGCCATGTCCCAGTTCATCCCATGTACCGTTCGTGGGGCTGTCTGTGCCCTTCCCCTGATGTGACTGTCCCCAGGGCAGGGCAACACGAGCTCCTTGAGTGGCGTCCCCGGAGCTTCCCAGAAGGCTGTGCTGCAGAGCTGTGTTTGCACCCCCTGCCTTGGTGCACTCGGTTTGTCCGAGGGGCAAGGGTAAAGTCTTGGCTGGGCAGGTCCATGTTTCTCCAGAGCTGTGGGGAGCTGTCCCCGCACTGGGATTTTCCGTGCAGGAGCAGTGGGAGCTGCTGCAGGCAGGATGCTGCTACGCTGGGGATCTGGGTTGGGGTTCAGCACATCCCTGTCTCCTCAGCAAGATCCTTGGAGAGAGGGGCCTTGTTCCAGGGGTCACGGTCCAGCACTGTCACAGTGATAGAAAGTTGCTGAATTTGAGGGTTTTTTTGTAGCTGATGCTTTGCTAATGAGCCTTAAAAAAACTGCTGATTTTCTGCACCTGCTCATGCTGCCAGGCTACTTCATGGGAGGTCATTCTGATGGAGAAGGTGATCTTTGTCCCAGGGTGACACCAGCGGCTCCTCTGGCATTGGAGACATGCAGCCATGCCTGGGAGCTTGCCGTGGTGTTTCCTTGCGAGTTAATGTAGTCTCCTTAGGGCAGTCAGGATGCATGGCATCCTCAGGCCAAAGCTGGCCTGTAGCCAGCATCTCCTTGGGCTCATGGTTGATTCCTGAAAGTCTCGAGGGGACTCTCTGCCTCTTGCTCTCTAACTGGGCATGGTGTGACCTGACAGGCTGTTTCTTCTCTCTCCCAGGTGAGCCACCATCCCCCGGCAGCTGCCCATCACGTGTATTCCAAGCGAGGCTGGACCTTGTGGCAGGAAATCACGATCGCCAGCAAATTCAGGGGCAAATACCTCTCTATCATGCCACTGGGTAGGTGACTTGTGTTGGGAGGATTGGGGCTGGCCTTGGCTGGCACTGCTGGTGCAGTACCCAGGAGATTACCCCGACGTGCTGATCCCACGGGCACACACGCAGCTGAGACCGTGGCTGGGCTGTCTAGAGCATCTCAGCTTAATCAGTGAGGGAATCCCAGGTAATTAGAAGCAAATAGAGCCTCAAACCAGAAAGGATGTTTTATATCCCAAGCAGATCTTCATGCTGCTGGTTGTAAACACGAGCTACATTAGCCATGCCAGAGCTATGCTAGCATTGAGGGTGCCTCGCTTGTGTCATGGCACTAAGCAGTCAACCAAGCAGCAGATTTCTAATTTACTTTTAAAATGAGAGCTTTTGAGGGGAGGGAAGGGGGCACAGGGCTTTGCAGATATCGCAGCTTCACTAGACTGGCAGAACACGCAGCACAGCGAGGGAGGGAGGCGGCATCACGCTGCGCTGCCCGCGGGACACACCATGCACTCCGTGCTGAGCAGCGCTGAGTAGGAACCGAGCCTGGAGACATGAAACCTCCTTCTGCGTCTCAGCCGCTGAGAGGAGGTTTGGGCCTGGGCAATGGGCATGGGGTCCGGGTGGGCTCTGAGGGTGAGCGCGGTGCTGGCGGGTCCCTGTGCCCCGGGGAGCTGCGCCGTCCCTCGCGCTGCCCGCGCTGAGCCCTGCGCTCTCTGCAGGCGCCATCCACCTCGAGTTCCACTCCAGCGGGAATCACTACGTCTGGAGGAAAGTCACCTCCACCGTTCACAACATCATCGTGGGCAAGCTCTGGATTGACCAGGTTAGTGGCTGCGGGTGCCTGTCTGGGTCTTGTCTGGCTCCAGGACAAGGGCAGGGGGACTAGAAGGACACTTCCTTCATGCTTGACTTCCAGACAGTATTCCTGCCATGATGGGAAGCTGTGTTTCCCTCATGAGGTGGGGGGAATGCTGCTCGGAGCTCCCGATGGCTCTTTCCGAAGCCAGCAGCTCCATGGAGCAGGGTGGTTCAGCTGGCCACATATGACCAGATCTGAGGCACAACAGGTTTTGCTCTTGCAAACAGAGCAGGCGGCTGTTGGAGAGCCATGGGCCTGGCAGGAGCTGCCAGTGTCTCCTCTCCTTCCGTGGCGCTGCCGCAATGTCACTGCTCCAGCCTCTGGAGTCGGGAAGAGCAGCAGTGCTGCAGGTCATGTTCATTTGTATCTGCACAAACTACAACTAATGCCTCATTTGTCTCCTTGCAAAGTCTCTCACTGCCTGTGATTCTGTGTCTTTTATCTAGTCTGGTGAAATAGAGATTGTTAACCATAAGTCAAAAGATAAATGCCAGCTGAAATTTACCCCCTACAGCTACTTCTCCAGAGATGTCCCCCGGAAGGTACGTGTCCCACAATATCCCTGCTCGTTGTAGCAGCCTTGCACGTGGCGAGGCCTGGCTCTGCTCTCTGGGCCAGGCCAGAGCCTGTGGGGCTGAGCACGGCGGGATGAAGCCCGTGTGGGTGGGAGCTCTGTTGAGGGAGGTCACGGCAGGGCCTGGGAGGGCATGGCTGTGTCAAGCTGTGTTTGGGCTCTGCTGGGCTCTGTGTTGGAGCTGCAGCACCAGCCAAGTGGCTGTGTGAGCCCTGGAAAGGGTTGGATGGGTTGGAGACCCAAGCGCAGGGGCTGCATCAGGGTGGGCCTTGCTCTCCTTGTGCTGGGGGCAGCTGATGTCTCTCCTCATGTACAAGGATGCTACAGCCCTGGTTGAATCATCGGGTCCAGCTGCTTTGAGCTGCCCAAAGGGTGTTCTGGCTCCCTGCCCATCTCCTTGCCCTGTGGGTACTTTCAAATGCCACTAGAGCCGTCTGCAATTTCCCCTCTCCTTCTGCCAGGTGACAGGGGTGGTGACTGATGCTGATGGAAAGGCCCACTACGTCATGTCTGGCACATGGGATGAGAAGATGGAGTGCTCCAAGATAGTGCAGAGCAGCCACGGCAGCACCAGCTCGGAGGGCAAGCAGAAAACTGTCTACCAGACCCTGTCTCCAAAGGTCCTGTGGAAGAAATACCCCCTTCCGTAAGTGACGTCCTCAGGAGCAGGGTGGTGGGGCCTGGGCTGCAGAGCTCCTGCTGTTAAACACTCTCCTTGTTACAGCGATGGGCAAAATGAGCCAGGCGTAAAGGTACGGCCCTGTAACGTGCAAACAAGCCCGAGGCGGAGAAGGGCTCTGGAGGGGATTATTGTGAAGGCCTGGGGACAGTGGAAAGGGACTGGGATTTGTGTGACTGCGTGGCTTTTCCTGGGTTATGAGCGTGTGCCAGGATGGGAGAGCAGGTTGCGTGGTCTCTGCGAGGGAAGGTGAATACCAGCACGGCTGGAAACGAGCGTCACCGAGTGATCGGTGTGCTGCTTTGCAGAGCAGGGAAACCCTCACAGTACTGACAGGACTTGGCCCTGCACTTCACATTTGGCCTGGCTTGGTTGGTGTTTGGCAGTGAAGCCGTTGTCGAGGTGCCCACAGCCACCAGGCCGTTCAAATGCACCGCGACAAGCTCTGGCTCTTTGCTGTCCTCCTTGACCTTGAGAGGCTTCTGCATATGGCTTTTTACTCGGGTAACCAGAGACACAGGGTAGGTTTGAGTTTTGGTTCTGCTGACTGCCGACCCTGCCATGGGTCAGCATTGGCCACTTTGCTTCCCTGGCAAGTCATTAGCCATCCTGTCACATCGGTTGCTTGAGCCATCTGGGGGCCAACCCTCTCTTGTCGTTCCTGTTCTCCTGCTCACGTCCCTCCTCATCCAACCTTGCTCCCACCCAACCAGTTTTTAGCCGTGTGGCGCTGTAGTCAGTTCATCTTCACATGGAGCAGGTGTCTGTGCTGCCCAGGGAGGCCATGTGGCAGGATTAGTCCAGGAGAGGCTTCGCTGGCATCTCCAATAAGGTGGTGGGAGACAGGACTCTCCAAAAGGCCTTCTGTATGTGCTTTGGGGATCAGAATATTTCTCTCATGTCCCTGTGTGGGCTCTCTGTGTCCAGGGAGAACGCTGAGAACATGTATTTCTTCTCTGACCTGGCCCTCACCCTGAATGAGCCTGAGGAGAGAGTGGCCCCCACGGACAGCCGGCTGAGACCCGACCAGCGGCTCATGGAGAGCGGCCGGTGGGACGAGGCCAACGTGGAGAAGCAGCGCCTCGAAGAGAAGCAGCGCGCCGTGCGCCGCAGGCGGGAGGCCGAGGCCGTGGAAGCCCTGGAGGAAGGTGAGATGCTCTGGGATGGCGGTGAAAAACCTCTGCTGGTCTCTTTTCAGTGGTGGCCACTGATCGGACTAGAGGAAATGGCCGGAAACTGAAGCACCAAAAGTTCCACATGAACTTAAGGAAAAATTTCTTAACAGTGAGGGTGACAGAGCACTGGAACAGGCTGCCCAGAGAGGTTGTGGAGTCTCCTTCTCTGGAGATCTTCAAAACCCGCTTGGATGCAGTCCTGTGCCACGTGCTCTAGGTGTCCCTGCGTGTGCAGGGGGGTTGGACTAGATGATCTCTAGAGGTCCCTTCCAACCCTAAGCATTCTATGATTCTATGATAATCAGAGCTGCTTTGAGATCCCAGTGCCCTTGGCTGTCAAACTGAGGGTAAAGCAAGTGAATTGAGTAGCCTGAAGGGGCTCCAGTGCTGGGGTGGAGGAGAGACCCTTCACTGACCGATGCCCTGGGCATGGCCTCCCTTAGGGCCCTGGTGAAGTTATGCAGAACTTTACAGCAGAGGTAAAACCACCCCTAACCCTGAGTTTTCTGCTTCACAGGCAAGGACTATGAAGGCTACATCCCACTGTGGTTTGAGCGGAAGGTGGATCCCATGACGGGGGAGCTGATCTGCGTTTACAAAGGTGGATACTGGGAGGCCAAGGACAGGCAGGACTGGAGTATGTGCCCTGACATCTTCTGAGCTGCTCTGCTTGCTCTGGGGCCAACCTCAGGCCTCTCTCTTCACCAGGATAGACAGAGGGACAGTGAGGACATGCTGGCAGCGTCCTGCTGCAAAGAAACACATACAGAGACTCCATACATGCAGAAATTTGAAGAGAAAATCTAAACAGGGATTCCAAACCTATTTTTTTACGCACTAGTAAATAGCATTCTTTTTTTCTTTCTTTTTTCTTATGGTGTTTTTTTCAGCTACTAATTAGGAATGAAGACACATTGAATCTGGTTGATTTTTAGCCTGACATATTTATTGCTATCAGGAGTTGCTGCCTATATCTCTCAGCGCCTCAGCTGTGTTGGTTGAGACGTCGACTTCCAAAGATGCTCGCGTTGTGGGGATGCCGTACGTTTGTGTGAGCTCTTCCTTTGACATTTTTATTTTCACCATTTGTGTGTGGACTTTATGGGTTTTTTTTTAATCTGCTCCTAGTTCAGGTTCCTTTGAAGACACAAGCAACTCTCTGAGCCCTGCTCAGAAAACTGCCTCCAGGGACTGTGGCTGAGGCGCTTGATCCTGGATCCTCTCGGTAGCTCCTGCTGTGTCATGTTATCCCAGCAATACCAATCAAGACATTTCAGCTGGTGACCTTTTTTTTTCATTCTTTTTCCTTTTTTTTTTAAAAAAAAAGAGAAGCACACTGAGCAGTTTCCCATCAGTCGGCAGTGTTTAGTCACGGTAAACACGGTGCTTTGTGAGGGTGATTGGGGCCACACTTGGTTTGGCTTTCCTGCAGCTGCATCCTGAGAGGAAACAGCTTCTTGCTGAGGCCGGGAAAATGTATCACCGGGCTGATACCGAGCTGGCGAGGTCAGAGGAGGTGTCTGAGCACAGAGCAGAGCAGTTTGTAGACCAGCACACGCTCCGTGACACTGGGGCCACCATACCAGCATGTTCTCCTCCACGTCTCCGCAGCGGGGCCCGGTGGCCGCGGGAGGCTGCAGCTTCATGCAGGGGCTTTCCAGGCTGTTTCCCTCTTGAGATATGACTGACGCCAGGTAGGAGGGTCATCCTGAGGGAGAGGCATGAGGAGCGAGGAGAAGGTGGCACCACTTGCTCGGACGGAGAGATCTCCCATGGAACCGGTGACGGGGAACCCGCCTGCTGGCAGGGTCCTGCACATGCTACTGGCACAGGGGTGGGTGGCTCTGTGCAGGAAACCTTTGTCCTGGGTCTATACTCACATCTTGATGTCTTCTCCAGTAAGTTAGACAGTCCCCAGATGCGCCTGGTCACAGGCTCCAGGGCTGAGGGTCAGTTCCTGGAAGGCTTCTGCTGCCTGGTGCCAGCAAGGCCAGGCTCTGAGCCTCCCCGGGTGTGATAGTTCTCCTCCCTGCAGTAATATTTCTCCAAGGAGAAATTTCGAGTCATAACTAAATTACCCCTCTCCCCATGGAGCCCTGGATGCAGCAGGCAGAGGCTTTGCTTCCTCCCTGGAGTGGTGGGAGATTCCCACAGCAAACCCTGTGCCTCTGCTGTTCCCATTTTCATGGGGAATCTTCCCAACACCTCAGAGCCCCGGGGCTGTCTCAGGAGGAAATTTCAGGCTGAATTCAGCTCAGTATCCATCTGGAAGAACCCCGGGCTGTTTGGGAGCCTCTCTTCTGCCTCTGTCCTTGCCTTCTCGTGAGTGCTGCTTGGCAGCAGCTTGAGAACATGGATGAGGAAGTCCCACATCAGCAATTCACCCCAGGAAGAGCTGAATAAGCCCTGCAAGTGATCAGTGAGGAGCAGAAGTGAGTGATTCTTGGACACAGGGCATTCACGCAGGAATAGCTGGTCCCTAAATGCTGGTTCAGAAGTGGAGGGAGGCAGGTGGCAG